AGTAACTTTATCAGTGGAGGACTCAGTTAGTTTGGCATGTTTTGTTTATGACAAACTGACACTGGCTCCTGTTAACTGTAGCCTGTCTGTATTTGAAGATTTTACCCATAAAAAGAGCAAGCTAGCCGGTTTGTAATTTCCTTGGTCTTCTTCCTTCCCTTTTCTGTAGATGGAAATTAATCTGATCTCCCCCAATATCCTGGGACTCAAAGATTACTGCAATAATCTGTTAATTACTTCAGTTCTGCAATAATCTCTGCTAATTACTAAGTACTGTAGAATATAATCCCTTTGGTCAGAGAAACTTGAATTTAATACAACTTGTTAAGTTTTATCTTATCACATCCTTGTCTTCCCTAAACAGCAGCTTCCTCATTCTTCTATAACAATGCCCAGCTAAATTGATTGTCCTTCACAGAATAGATACAAAATCATTATCTATGGTCACTTCACCACCTCTTTCATCACTGACTTAAACTTTGGCTTTCTTTTTATTTCTAATATATCCAAAGATATATTTTGTTGTCTCTGGTATGTCTCACAAACCTTAATTTTCAACTTTAGTCTTTGCTCCCCACTGGAACCTGCTGCATTTTAATTGTGTTTTATGTAGCATTCTAATTCCAATAGTATAGGTTTGGAATTTGCATCAGAGTTTTAAAGCAGTTGCCCCTGGACTTACAGGGTTTTTTAGGCATCCATGATACAATGCCAAAGGATTCTACATTTATGTAGTAAGCATGAACTATTCAAATGAAGACATTTCATAACATAACATTGCATATAATGTGGTTTGAAATGAACAAAAGTAACTTATGAGTGAATTGGTCATACTATGCTACAAGCTCAGTGATTAAATAGCCCTTTCCTCTCTAGATAACTGTCTTATTTTATTAGAGAAGAGTACAGACGTAATTTACCAAAGAACAGCCCTAAAGAGTCTCTTAGTCTAATAAATGACAGATGTAATAGAAACTATATTAACTGTTAAGAGAATTTATGTCTAGTTATCTGGGAGACATTATATAGAAATCATATACAAAATGCTTTCCATTCCATCTATACAGATAGTCTTTGACTCACAACTGTTCATTTAATGAGTTTTCAAAGTTAAAACAGCACTGAAAAAGTGACTTATGATCATTTTTCACTTTTATGATTGTTTTTTTTTTTGGTAAGTTTTATTTGAGTTTTCACAAAAAGAAAAGAAATACAAGTAAAACATCTTTTTTGAAAGCAGCATAATCCCAGGTTACATTTCTTCGTAGAGACACAAATTCAGGTTCATGCTCATTTTTATATTCTATTCCATATCTTATTACTATTTTACATTTTCTACATAGCTTCTCCCCTCTTTTAATTTTCTTAATTGTATTTATTTCATCTCAATTCTAATCATTATATATTTTTTGTCTGTCCTGTTTCAATTGTCTATTATCTTTTCTCATTGAACAAAATTTCTCCTGTAGTTACTGATCGGAGTATGACGCCTTTATATCTTTCCCCTAAAATTATAACACTTAATATAATACATAACTTCCATTCGGATTCTGCTTGGTACATTCTAAAACTACACACTGTATTCTTGAAAGAAGAAAAAGTTATAAATGTATAATATAATTAAAACAACAATCCATTCCAATTCAGTTCTATCATTAATATTAATATTCATTTAAATCTTAACATTTTACATGTTATTTTTCAAATAAATATCATCCTTCTATGGGAACAATTATAAACTTTCCATGGTTAATTCCCCCCCCCCTTCACTTATATTTTATAAAACATTGACTGATTAAAATGTTCCCATTCCTTCCTAATTCAATTTTCTCATTTATTTTATTTCATTTTATTCACAAACATTTCACTAAATTACACTATTTTATCCCTCTTTTTAATCATGTTGTTTCCAATTTTCTAGTTATTTCTATTACAAATATAACAATACAATCTTATGTACCTTTACAGAATCCCTTTTTTAGTTAGATTTTCACCCATTATCTCTAAATAGGTCCTGTTTCTTTGTACCTTGCTCCAAACCTTTGTAACTTTTCCTTTCCTTCCTCCCTGTTCCTCTCTCCCATCTTTACCCCCCACCCCCGTCTCTCCACCTCTACTTCCCTCCTCTGCATTCCCCTTTTCTGTCGCCTTCCAACATTATATTTATTTTTCAAATTATTTTTCTTTTATTTGGTTGTTTTTTCAAGTCTCAAATTCTCCACTCTCTTTCCCCCCTTTCCTCTTTCTTCCCCACAGAGTTACTTGTTCATTAAAGATGGCTTCTTCTTTGTCCCAGTCTTCTTGTTTTGCAGTCTTTTCTTGTTGTTTCTCGTAGTTGCAGATCTCCATTTCTAAGAATTGAAAAACGAAGCCAAAAGAGCCCCTCCCTTCTTGTGCATCTTCTTTATATTTTTTAAGTTCCATTTTCAATTCATCCAGAAGTGATGCCATTGTAAAAATTTTAAACAACCACCCCATTGGTTTTAGTCATTCAAATATAATAACCAAAAATGCAAAAGTCACCAAGCAATCCAAATACACACAAGCTGATTCTTTTTACACTTTCTTTTTTTTTCACTTTCTCTTCCTGGGGTTACTATTTAGTTGCAAAGTTTCAGTTAAAATATATCTTTTAGAAGTCTTATTGAAATTTTACTTTAGATTCTTTTGAAGTCCAGGCAGTCTCCTCCCTCCAGATCCTGCCCTTATTCTTTTCCTCTCCCTTCCTGCTTATAGAAGAAAAAGTTTTTAATGTCCAGAAATCTTTATTGTCCCTTTGGCATTTAGTTATATTTTCAGCTTAGTTGCCTATTGATGCCAAAGTGGATTTTTCCGATTTCTTATTCAGATCTCTTAGTTGTCAATGTAAGGAAGGAGAGAGAAGAAAAAAACTTTCCCTTTTCACTTTCTTTTGCTGCTTCCGACTCTTCTTTGGGAGCGATGTTATTTTTTGTAAAATTTAAATTCCAGGGTACCTTAATTGTTGCTTTTCTGACTTAGCCTGGTCAGCCAAAACTTTCACTTCTTATCTTCCTCCTGCACTTTCTTTTCCAGTTGAGTTCTTCTTTGAGGTGGCCATTTCTGACCATTGCTCCTACCGCCTTCGGGAAAAGGAGTTTGGCCAGCTGAGGAGGAGAGATGCGGCTCTCCTCGACCCTGCTGATGATCAACTCTTCACCACCTCTACGGGGTGGCTTAGCCCCGAAACCAGCCGGCTCGGGGCGCTCCAGTGGCGAGCCCAGGCAGAAACCGCGCATGATCGCGGATTCCTGTCTGTCGCCGAAGCCCTTCAAACCGGAAGTCCCACTTTTATGATTGTTGTAGCATCCCCATGATCATGTGATCAAAATTCAAACACTTGACAGCTGACTCATATTTATGAAGGTTGCGGTGTCCCAGGCCACGTGATCATCCTTTGCAAACTTCTGATAAACAAGGTAAATGGGGAAGACAAGTTCTAACTTAACAATTGAAGTGATTCATTTAACTGTGTCAACAAAAGTCATAAAATAGGGCAAAACTCATTAAATAACTCTTGCTTATCAACACAAATTTTGGGCTCAACTGTGTTTGTAAATTATTTGTATCACTTTAATCCACTATGCATATTAAGACTATAAGATAAAAGTAAAGGTTCTCCTTGCACATATGTGCTGGTCATTTCCAGCTCTAGGGAGCTGTGCTCATCTCCGTTACAAAGCCGAAGAGCCAGCGCTGTCCAATGACGTCTCTGTGGTCATATGGCTGGCATGACTAAACACTGAAGGCACACAGAACACTGTTACCTTCCCACCAAAGTGGTCCCTATTTTTCTATTTGCATTTTTACATGCTTTCAAATTGCCAGGTTGACAGAAGCTGGGACAAGTAACAGGAACTCACTCCGTTACGCAGTGCTAGGGATTTGAACCACCAACCTTTCTGATCGACGAGCTCAGTGTCTTAGCCACTGAGCCACCGCGTCCCTTTTTATAGTCCCTTAAGACTACACAGTACTGTAAATCATATAATCATGCTATACCCTCCTTGTACCGAGCAATATAAGATAAACAGGATCATCCCCCACAAACCTAACCAAAAATAGTTTTATAACCATTTCCTGCTTGAAGCTATTATGTAAAAATAACAGTATAATATTTGTGTTAAATCCAAGTTCTTATTATTTACAGTTTTGCCTGCTTTTTTGCTTCTCCTGTTGTGCTTCATGTGATTAACACAGATTCCTACATTCTATTTAACTCAAACCACCAAAATCTTTTTGTTCTCAAGGGATGAATGTTCTCTATCTTCTGTAACTTATTTCTTTATCATTCCATACTTACATTGTAGTTAAACAAGTTTACATTTAACATGGTTAGGATCTTACCATTAAAGTATCACCAAGTATTCTTTAATATACATAGATTTGACACATGCAAACTTGCAGAGAATCTCATATATAGTCTGAGTGCTAAAGTAACGCTAAACCTAAATGTATGTCTTGAAGAAAAATTAACTAAAAATAGACCAGAATGATGTAAATATATTTTAATAATACCAAAACTAAGCTTCCCATCTACTCTGAGGTTTTCAAATAAATAGCAAAATCAATGATACTCTTAAAGTAACTGTGCAGAAAGTAGGACCATTTTGCACTCAAACACATCCAAAACAGTTACGAACATACAGTAATAATGCACTGACAGAAGTCTCACTACAAAGGACAGATACCAGCAATTTCTGAACAGACCATTAAATAATGGTGTCTGATAACAAGAAAAAAAACACAACTCTAGGATCATACCATATAAAAATGACAAAGCAAAATGTGCCCTTTCTTCCCACATTAGCAAGACTCTAACACAGAAAAGTTCTACTGAAGTTCAAGGATAATTTCATCTACTGGCTTCGGCAATCAGATGTTGTTTCTTGTGAGCACAAGAAACATCCAGAAGGCAATCTAAATATTCTGATTTAAACAGAAGCAAGCTATCAGTTTGAGAAATCAGCTGATGCTTCTTAAAGTCTCAAACTAGAATGCTAACAGAACTGTTGTACAAGAACTATTAGCCATGCATATATTTTACCAAATACACATTTTGGTATCTTCCAGATTTAATGTGTGCTTATATTCAAGGACAGATCTTTTAAAGTATATCAAAATATAATAGCCTTCAAAATCTGCCATTAGATATTCCAATGTGTGACAAGTCAAAGCAGAAACTCATTGTAAATGTGTAGCAATATATAATCAAAACAAAGACACGGCAATGTTTTCTGATAGACTTAGTTTTAAGAGCATTGCTTGACTGGATTTTCGTCTTCCCTGTCCTTTTCAATGTTTGGTTTTCAGCTGAGCCATGGTAGCGGTTAACTTTTCTTACAATTTATGATAGATTATAAATGGGGAAGAACTACTTCTTCCACAATAAGTTGTTTAAGTCTACATACTCAGCCAATTAAATATGGTAATTAAATTGAAAGACTTGCTCCAATAAAATCTATATAGTTAAATGTAAAATTATGTTCCACTGTAATGCATACACTGCAACACTGAACAGAATAAACAAAATGCAAATGAATCTCAAAGTACATCGCATGTCATGAATGAGTGATCAGAGTTTTCAATTTTCAAGGAAAGCTACATAGTCAGTTAATCGAGCCAATTGTTGTTCATTAGGAATTGGTGGAACTGGAGCAGGTTCTACAAAGAAAGCAGAAAACACGATGAGAACAGAAACTACATTATTATTTCCATCTTACAGAAAGATAACAAACTGCACATCTGGAGGCTGTAGGTGCATCCTTTGCCTCCTTCTGTTGTTTCTGAATGATCTGGATAGATCAAAATTTCATTCATGGCCACAGTAAATGGGTAATTAACAAATCCTTCAAAGCCTTCACCCACATTATCATTAGAAAGTCTACAAATGCTAAAAACTTAATGCTCACTCTTAGATATTTTATAACTTTTAATACAAGATCCTGAACAGCATCAAGATATTAAGATGCCAATATAGGAATGTGAGTGGTATGGAAAAGAAAAACACCCACTGACTATGTGCTCTGTAGCACAAGGGAAATAATTATTTCAGCTTCAGAACCTTCCACTTCTGCATAAAGGAAAAACTGAGTAGGCTTCAAATTCCTACATATAACCTTGTGCCATGTTAATTTATTAAACAGACACAAATACAATGCTAGAACATTTTTAGACAGCAAGGATATAAAATATTAATACATGTTTTTATAAAACGTATTCAGCCACCTATCGTATGCACAAAATAATTGTAGCTGGTTCACAGCAGGCAGTAAACAGTATTCACAAACCTTTTTTTTAAAAAAAAAATCATACATGCCCTACAGTGCTCCAACACCTCATCAACTCCATGAGTTACTGCAGGGATCCCCAACCTTTTCGACGCCGCGGCCCGGTTCCGACATCAGCTGGGCGCCGCGGCCCGGTACCGGCGTCAACTGGGCGCCGCCATCTTTTTATGACGAAAAGGCGCTTCCGGTGAGCTTTCTACCCGGAAAAGCTCACCAGAAGCGCTTTTTTACCAAAAAAAAGATGGCGGCGCCCAGCAACCAGCGGCCCGGTAAGGCTTGTTCCGCGGCCCGGTACCGGTCCGCGGACCGGCGGTTGGGGACCCCTGAGTTACTGAACTGATTCATTCTTAGCCCAGTGCTTGGGGGAAAAGCCAGGTCTTGATGACCTACTGTCAGTCTAAGATGATACAGGCACTCTGGACTTCCAAACAAGGGGAGGTTGGAGCAGCTACAGAGACAAACCTGAGATATGCATACCTGATAGTGGATGAAACCTATTAAATGTAGGCTCCTGAGGACCTGAAATATATAACAGCAAAACCCATCTATCAAACAAACACATTGTTAGAGGTTTTGGAAATTTATAATACAGAACTCCCCCACCATCAGCACAACCCAAGGCTCCTTTAGTTTAAAAGAGAACATAAAAGTAACACAAAATGATACAGAATTAAAGAAAACAGAAAAAGACAAAAAGAAATAGCAAATATAAGCATGATTGCAGAATTATCTCTTACCCTATGATTACAAAAAAGCTCACTTTTTTTCTATTATCCCAGTATTTTTCTACACATCAAGTCCTAAGTGCAGTTTTTTTTCCTGTCTCATGCAAGTCTATAAGGAATTTCCAATCAGTCATAAATACTGTATATTTTCTGTAAATTAATCCCAAAATTTTTCAATCATACATTCATCTTTAAATAATTTGTATCCAATTTTTATTGCTTTTTTCATGTCCATCATTCATAATAGAAAGTTTCTTTGTGTTGTTCACAATTCTAGCAAAGATTCTAAATACTCCAATTTATCTATGGTGACAAAAAGCAATGATACATCCTCTTATCAAAATGATTTTCAAGGTTAGAACACAATGTAAATTTCAATCCTTTCAACATTTTCAACCATGGATACATTTTCCCATGGATCCATTTGTATATTGTAGCCAAAAAAATTAGCTCATTTTACTATCCATTTGTATATTGTAGCCAAAAAATTTAGCTCATTTTACTATGCATTTTTTCACTTGTTCTTTTGTTTCATATTTCAACAAAAGAACTAAAATAAACAAAAGAGGGCAACATTGTCTTGTTTCTATTTCTAGACTGGTTTGGTTAAATCTCCATTAACAATTATTTATGACACCCCTGATTTATGCTATCTGCAAAGTATAAATCAATTTCATCCATTTTTATAAAATTCTCTCCAAAATTTGTGTATTCCAGAACTTTAAACAAGAGAATCCAGCTCAAACTATCAAAAGCCTTTTCTCCCTCTAAAAAGTTTAATGCAGTTTGTTTTTCATTATATTGTTCCAAATATTCCAGAGTATTTAACACTGTCATTTAGCTGTCTTATAAGTAAAAACCCAAAAGAGACCATAGAATATTAGGCTGAAAGGGAACTTGAAGGTCTTTTAGTCCAACCCCCCCTGGTCAAGGCAAAATATCATATTCCCTCCTGGGCAACAGTTATCCAGTTTATTCTTGAAAACCTCCAATGATGGAACACCCACAGCTCCAGGAGGCAAAATATTCCTCATGAATAAATTCTTTCAAAATTATTTTCAGTTTTTCAACTTAAAATGTTCTAAGCATTATCCAATAATGATATTGGTCTGTAGTTTTTTGCAAAGTCAAATCTTGTCTCTCTTTAAGTATTAATATAGCAGGAGTCTTCCCAAGTATGTGGCATCTTTCCTCCTTGTAAAATAGAATTATACTTTGAAGTGGTTGTAAATGTTCAATCCTCAAAACACTCTAATAGAGAGTCAATAACCCAACTAGCGAGGCATCTCTCCTAGTTAACTTTTTAATAGCTTCTGAAATTTATCTTGTTATAAGCCCATTCATAATTTATTCTTCTGTAATGCTCAGTCATTTTGCATTCTGAAATGTATCTTTATTTTCTCCACTGAAATATGTTCTGTATACAAATTAAAATATTGACAAAATATTTGTGTACAGCCATATTATCCATTAACACAGTATCTCCTTCTTGTAATTTTAGCACCATTTTCTTTCTCTTTAAAGTTTATAAGCCAATCATTTCCCTGGTTTATTCGCAAATTCAAAATTTCTTTCTTTCATATAGCTCCATCTTATTTCCATTTCTCTTATTGCTAACATTGTTGCTATAAGATCTTAATTTGTTCAGAAATACATATATATCCTGTGAATTTATTTAAATCTTTTCTTTTTATCTCATCCAAAATATTTTGTATTTTCTCTGAAAATGTCTTTGGTAAGATCTAATATCTCTACCTTGGAAATTTTAGTAGCCAAATATATTGAAATCCAAATCATTCTATTCTTGAAAAGGATCTGTGTCATTCTAAAAAATAAGTGTACTTTCTTGTATTGCCATTCTTTTGCCTTCATATATCAACCAACCCTAAATTGTCTATCAAATCAAAGACTTTTGGTAATTTGCCCTGAGTAATTTTCCTTGAGTAATTGTAATATTTTCCTCAGAAATCCTATCCAATTTGTGTGGGGCGGGGAGACTACTCCACTCAATCCCCCATCAAACACCAAATTTCATAAAGAAAAATCTATTAGTCTCTCATTAACCTGTTTGTAAAAAGTCACTTAACTCCTCCCCAAAGCTCTGAAGCAAACTCTACAACCATGGGATAAAAGAAAAGCGAGTTGGGCTGTTAACTAAGTACAGAAAGCAAAACAGAAATAATAAACTTATAAATTATGAAAATGTGCAAGTTGGATTTACTGTATGTTCCAGTCTATGCTGGGAGCAGTTCTTTTAAATTTATTTATAAACTCTCTGAATATGCAATGAGGTAGTGAAGGTAATACAATAAAGATACTAGGATTTTACTTCTAATAAAATAAAAAAGGTTTTATTAGAAACAAATGCAATTCAAAATGCAGAATGATTGTTGTAGCAGACATAGCCCAGTCATCTCAGACAGTTTGAAGGACAATTTTCAGCAAAGAAGTAAAACCACATTACAGGCCCTTATTATTATCAATATAGAATATAAATTTAAACTAGCAAAAATGACTTAATTTGACAACTTAAATGGTATTCAAAATTGTAACATTTAATTGTAACTGCATTTCACTCAATTCAGGCGTGTCAGTTAAGGTCATTGAAAAATATGCTCAACCGAGTCTTTATTGCCAAGAAGCAGACAGAGAAAGCAAGCTGAGGCACTTCCTGTTTATTTCTATTTAAACTTTACATTCTAAAATATCCATTTCATTAAAACATCCTGCACCCATTCAAATAGATCACTAGTTCATTTTCTTGACATGACATCTTACGAGTATCACCCTACTATTTTAAACATTTGAAAGGAATGCTGGCATGTAAATACTAATTGCATTTTCAATTGTGTGCAGCAAAGGCAGGCAAGCAATATTAAGTAATCCTGAAGTGTCACCTCCCTTCCCTTTCCCTCCCCCTTCCACAAATCCTCATGGAACAAGAGCTCCACCTACCTGGCTTTTTAGGCATAACCATTCGAGTTGACAAATCTGCTTGCCATCCCTGATCAAGAACTCCTAAAATTGTAATATAGCTATAATTAGCTATAATTAGTTTCATACACATGATTCAATACAGAAAACATTCGATGGGATTAATTTCCTGATTTGTTTTTATTTCTTGTTTTTTTATTCCTTGCTATATTTCCATTTCCTATAAAGTGAACTATTAATGTTCATTTTCCTTTTATTCAGCCGGTTATCCTTTAATAACAATATAGCGATAGCAATAAACTTATATACTGCTTTATAGTGCTTTACAGCCCACTCTAAGTAGTTTACAGAGTCAGCATATTGCCCCCAACAATTTGGGTCCTCATTTTCCCCACTTGGAAGGATGGAAGGCTGAGTCAACCTTGAGCCTGGTGAGATTTGAACTGCCAAACAGCAGGCAGAAGTAGCCTGCAGTACTGCATTCTAACCACTACTCCACCATGGCTCTTATAGTAAGTGAACTAAGCACAAATTTTAGACAACTTACTGTTGCTTTTAAAACTATTTCATGCCAGGCACAGAAACCAGTTTAGTCTTTATCAAAGGAATGAAACAATCCCGTAAAGTACAGTATTTCTACATTGCCAAATAAATTGATAATCTTCCAAAAAAAATCAGCAAAACTGTAGCAATTCTAAAAATGTGCATAGTTTTAGAAAATCTGTGATTCATTTAGAATATACAATTGTAAGAACTGAAAGTCTTGTAACACAATTCTAATAGTTTAGTGATTGCCTCAAATACTGTTCACTTTTGCAACAGAGATGAAAAAGTAACTCTGACCAATCTTCTCATGTATGATCTTCACAGATATGTAAAGCAAATGAAAGCTAAAGATTGTAAGCAGTTTCACTTAGTGACTGTTTCGCTTAACAACCTTAGCTTAGCTGTTCTCAACTGTGGTTGCTAAACAAGATTGTATTGATTTAAAGCTTAACACTCAATTTCAAAGATGCATAATAATATTATGGTGAAGACATGACTATTATTTGACAAGGGATTTTTCAATCTAGGCTACAAGATGATTAAAGATGTCATTAACTGTGGAGGAAAGTTATAGCATAAAATCAGTTACCACCACCACCAAATCATATACAGCAGCGTTTAGAGAACTGGGTGTCCGAGCTACCAGGTGTCTAAATATATTGATACAAGCTCAACGTTGAGTATAAGCAACATTTATTTGCATCTCAGGTATTTTCAGTACCTTTTACTGCTTCTTCTACAGGAAGTCCAACAAAGGCTGCAAAGTCATCTGCGCTTATGGAAGGATATGCCCGAGAGACTAGTCCAAATGCTCGCCGCCTTGTTGCATCTATTAGAGGGGTAATTAATGCAAAGCTAGCTTACCAAGGATAGGAAAACACCTTGTTCTTAAATAAGTTTCTCTTGAGAAGAATCAGAAATGTGCACATTTATATAGGAGATGATTGGTTAGATGTAAAGCCTGATTCCTACAAACAAGCAATGACCCTTTATATACAAAGTATCCTATCAAAATACATGAAAAATGTATTTTACTTCAACATTTGCTTTTGATGAACTATAATCAAAAACTGAAAGAATTAAATACTGAATTCCAATTTATAAAGCATGTCAATCTTAATCAAACCTCACATTTCTTATGTCATATATTATCTCAAATTAAGTAGCAGTGACAGCGATCACAGCTGAAAATGGCAACCTTTCTCCTGGGAACTGGTGTCAGGGTTTTGCAAATGGGGGAGCCTGTCAAGATATATTTATCAATGAAGGTGAAAATCTGTTAAACGTGGCTCCAAAACTGAATAGAATAAGTGATATCATGGTATTCATGGTAGACAAGTTTTAGTTGGCTTGTTGAAAACAGATAAAGTATAGCTCAAATGTAAATTATCTATCAAATGTTCGATCCAATGCTGCATACATTTACTTTGCCAAAGTACAAGTTGAACTTTCTGCACAAACCTCAGCTTGCATTAACCAATATATACCTGAGCGGAAATTCTCTGTTAAAGGTAGTTTGTTCTTAGCAGAGTAGAAAACATGAATAAAAATTAATTCAGAAACAATACTTGTTCTTGATGCAACTTTGGGTGTACCTTTTCCACATTTCATTCCGCAATCCTTAACCTGACAATAACCATCTTCCCAGGAAATCATCCAGCTCAAGGCTACCAATATAACAACATTGGAGGAAAACCTATTATTACTGCTACTAATTCTTTATTAAACTTACCGTATTTGCCGGCGTATAAGACGACTGGGCGTATAAGACGAGCCCCCAACATTTCCACTCAAAATATAGAGTTTGTTATATACTCGCCGTATAAGACGACCCCCCCCCACTTGGAGGCATGTTTTTCAGGGCAAAAAAGTCATCTCATACGCCGGCAAATACGGTAAGTTGTAACACTTGGGGTATTCTGGATATAATTCTTGATTGACACCCCCGCCCCTTTCCCCCAAACTTACAAAGCAACCAAAATGCTTTAGAGAGGCAGCTTCGCCTTTCTCAGGCTGGCACTCAATTCCTCTCCCTTTCTTTGTGACAGCCCCCGCGTGCGTGCCATCGGGACTCCAAGGGTGGGGGATAGACAGCTGCCAACTCTCTCTCTCTCTCTCTCTCTGTGTGTGTGTGTGTGTGTGTGTGTGTGTGTGTGTGTGTGTGGTGTGGAGGGTAATTCCGGCTATCTCTGGCCTCCGCTCGGTTTTAAAGTCGCTTGGCCGGTTCCCAAGTCGCAAGCGTGCACTGGCCGGGAGACGCGGCGCCGGGTGGCAGCTCGGTGCAGGGGAGGCGGATCTTTCTCTCTTAAGTGAGGAGGGGACAAGAGGAGGGATGGGACGGGACAGGGAGTGGGAGGAGGTCCCTCGCCTTCTTCCACCGCCCACCGGACCCTTTTCTTCCCAAGGGGACCCTGGAAAGCAGCTCGGGAGCCGGGTGGCCCTGCCCAGCGGGGTCCCATCAGGAACTTCCCGAGGACACCCCCCCCCGCCCCAAGCACAGCCCTCCCGGTCTTTCAAAGAGGGAGGGAGAAGCGGGAGGAGCAAATTGCCGCCCCCCGCCCCGCTGCCCAGAAGGAGGGGCGCCACAGTCCACCCCCACCACCTTCTCCCTCCCACTCCCCGGGCCATTACGCGGCTCGGGGCTGGCTGGGCGAAGCGGCCCCGCCAGAGACCCTCCCGCTCCACCCCCACCCCACTTCCAGACTGGCCTCCGCAAGCGCCCCGAGCCGGGCGGAGGGTGGGGGGGTGGGGGGGGG